TACAACTGCTGCACGAGGTGCTTGAATCACCTGCGCACGCAGATTGGAAGTGGCCTCCGCTTTGCCTGCGAACCACCTCAAAACTTATGCCTTGTATTTTACTGTATTGGTTGTGAAGTGGCCTTTTGCGATGCGGTCAAATTGTGTTCACCATGCAATACCGTCACTTTAAGTCGCGAAAACAGAAAAGAGTTGATTGTTCATGCGCATGGTAAGAGAAAACAAGGATGATGTGTACTTTCATTGCTCCCTCTCCAACAGCATAATAAATAAACAATGCAGCTGTCAACTGTCACTTTGGGGTTCTTTCGAAATTGTCTGAAAATAGACTATTTAATTTGCATAAATGGAAGTGTTCATGGACTCGTTAAGTAAATGATGCCACATGGAATTAATGAAGCTTTGTCTGCAACTAATTATTATCTGCAGTTTTCGAGTCTATCCAAGTGTTGTGTGGTTCATCTATTCAATCCAGACGTCTTTTACGTACGCATACGTCAACAGGTTACAGATGCTGAAATGGATTACTTCCCATACATTAACTAAGACAGTCCACACCATGGGAAGTTCACAACTTTGTTGGGTTAATAAAGAGATCTTGGTAGGAAACTTGAATTGCCTACACCACTTTGAGATCAAAAGTCACCCGTAGCTTACTTTAAACATTCTCTTGCAGTACCCAACTTCGAAGCCAATGGGAAGTTAGAAACACAGTTTCATCCTCCACACGAGACTACAAACTTCCATTGCAAATAACGATTAGAAATATGCGAAATTGTCTTACGTTGTTATTGGAGTGGTTTAGTAAAAGCACCTCAAGACTACACTATTCATTGAGTAGGCACCAGAATGCCATCTTGAGATGGTAGCTGAATAGACATTCTGAGTAAGCGTTAGCGAGCAAAGATGAGGTGTAAAGCGTCAGGTCTTATGACTGAAGTCACACCGACGATCGCTTGATATTGCAATTCGAAAGTGCAAATCAGGGCTGGGTTCAATGTGACGCTGCCAACAGTCACACCTATGGTAGCATCAAACCATTGTTGCTAACTCCATGTTAATTAAACCTGTCATCCTTATGCAATCGCAGCTTTACAGAAAGATTTTGTAAGCAAAAACTAAGTAGTGTCACTTAGCAAATGCCCAACTATAATCAACAATCCTAAGCAAATTATGTGATGGCAGTGAGGTTATTTGAACGACGGCCACAGCCATCCAAATCCAAAGCTTTCGTTGCAAAAAGACTAATTGACAGCAAGAATTGGGAGAAGTCGTGAAGTCACAAAAATTATTTAAGACTTATTTAAAAGGTCTTTACTTATTTATTAAAATCTAGCTTATTTCATAAAAAATACTCCATGGGACCCAGCAGACCACCATCACATAAAAGCAACTGATAGAGAAGGACCTTCATTCTAGAGCTTTATTTTCTAACCTCTGTTTAATGAAAAAATTGGCCGTGTCATTCTTGAATAAAGTTTTTTTCGATTGGCTAGGAGTGTTGCTCGATCAAAATAGGAAAAATGAGTGAAGACTAGCAATTATGCAGCACGTTATCCTGGCAGTGGTGACACCAAGAAGAGAAAAGTGCACTTTAGAACGCCGTTACAAACTACACTGACGTATACGTTTTCCTTCGCCGAACCGAATTACAATTTTACAAAAATTTGCATTTAACTGGCAGCAGGGCCAAAAGTAGACTTAAATGGCACGCCGACTTCCTCCTCTAACGAAGAATAGCAAAAGTAACTGCAAAATGAGGTTCTTTAAGGTTTTCTTCCTTTTAATAAGAATCAAACAATAAAAAAGAGAATTGTAGTATTTTCCTTTTTAATCATGATCGAAGCGGGTGCTTTCCACACTCTGAGAGTATTGACTGCAACTTTACTGTGATTCTGTTAGGTTAAAACTTCTAATCCTACTTTGTGGAAAAATCGGATTTCTGCCCCACTAGTGGTGAGGACGCCTCGCAGGTTTGCTGTCAATCGAGCGGATGTGCGTATGCGTGCACGTGCGCGTGTGAGGCCTGTGAGCGATTGGTGGGGTTGACAGCTCCGAGAGCTCTTGCCAGTCTCATTTAAGGGCTCGTGTGTCCCACCCTCACGCACAGGTGCACACAACTCTTAAATTCTCTCACCTTAACCTAGGCACACACTTCATTCCGCGAACATTAGGAGAATGTCAGTCGAACCGTCTGCAGAAACACTTGTTCACTTCTACGACGAACTTACAGAAGCTCAGGCATGTGAGTTCGCAATCCGATTCTCTACAACTCCAATCCGGCAGAATTCGTTTTGTCTATAATCTTACCTTATATGACAAAAAATGTTTGGAAACTCTGATATGAATTTTGGCTTCGTTTTGTTGCAGCTATTCCGACACGGAGTTACAAGGAATTTCTCATCAAATGGGGCTATGATCCTGAGCAAGCAGATGTAGGTATTCAAAGGCTGAAGAACATAGGTTATCTGAACTTAATCCTTGCCTAATCACCTCCTTCCTACCTTCCTTTTAGCGATTGTGCAGTCGCTTAGATAAGGGAACTGGAGTTATTCACAGAAAGGATCTATGTAAGCCAAATGAAATCCCATGCAATACGTACGTTCCGAAGTCCACTTCAACTGGAACCATTTTAGCATGTCGCCCTTAAAGTAACAAAGTTTCATTTTATTCTGTTAGACTGCCTGCACTTCGGGATATCCAGATCCTCAATTCAGACATGAATCAGAAGCAGGCAGAATCAATCATGCTCTACGTCGTGGATGTTATCAAGAGGAAAAAATCCAAAAAGGTGGGTTCAGTCATTACCTGTTTCAAATCAAACTATCCAGAAAATGTTATGAACAAACCACAAATATTTGACATTGTATGCGAAAAAAAATTATGAAAAATGCGTTAAAAGATGTGAAAATGTGTTGCAGTAATCTTCATTTCGTTTCATTTTCGTCTTAATAAAGGACCAATTGGAGGACTTGAAGAAGCGACTGGAAGACGTGTATGGAAAAGGATGGAACTGCTACATGACTGATGGCAAATTTTACTCCGTCTGTTCTCACGAAGCCGGTACCAGCCTTGTCTTTCTCCTAAACGATATGGTTTATGGCGTGTTCCGCACACCCTACACGAGCAAGCACTAAGGACGCGTGACTGTCAAATGACCATTATTTTGCACAACCATATAATAAATTAGAACACAAAGAGAATCCCTGACCACAGAGCATTGCCTTTCACATTTACGAATTCCTCAAAACTACAACTAACATCTCAATCGTCGCATCCATGCATGCGTTTTAAAGGACCAAGTGCCGTAGGATTATTATTACATAATGATAAAGAGGATAAGTTTATCTGTGTTGTATCAGTTGTGCTCATTGTTGAAAGAATGGGTGTAGCAAAGCATATACTTCCAGCCTTCCCACAAAGTATACATATGCAATGGGATTACAAACTCAT